GACTCCACTAAACAGGAGACAGAAGTGGATCATAGGAAGCTACTGAATGAGACCAATGGTCTACTTAGGACAGAGGTCCCCAGTCTTGGTGGGCTTGAGGATCTGAAAAAATGCCAAATCCATGGATCCCTCATTCTGCTTATACCTGTCATATTCATCATTTATTTTATTTCTATATCACCCACTAGCTGAAGCTCTCCAGGCAGTGCACCTATGGATCTTAGGCTGCATTTTATTCAGCAAAAATACTTATATTTTGTCTATTGGACACTGCAATGTCTCTTTAAAAAAAGATTGTCTAATTCAGCTAATTGCTGGCAGTGCAATCTTGCAATACAAGATATACACAATATATATCTATTCGATAATCAGAGGTGGCTAGACGTGCTCAACAAAAGAGCCATAGATGTCAGATGTCTGAGAGCCACAAGCAGGTGCCTGTGGGTGGCAGTGTCGGGGGGTGGCAAGTGGGTGCCTAGAGGCACCACAGAGGAAAGCAGAAAGCCCCAAAATAAACTCGAAGAACTGCAGGTGGCTCCTGAGCCTCAGTTTGGCCACCCCTGCAATATGTGTTCTGGCAGCATCCAGTGGGTGCCTCTTTTGTGAAGGAAATTATTGCACAGATGCATTTTGTAGAGGAGCAGTCTATATTGTTCATTGATGTATATACTCTTGCTTCCTTTCTGACATTACAACATACGTGGCCACTCTGTACCCTTTGGACAGTTAAAAGACTGATATGACAGCACTGGAAGGACGAACATCTCCTCTACCAGGAGGACCTTACCAGGGTTTTAATATTTGAACGAGTGGTATCTTGGCACCACTATCCCTTCAGAGGAATACTTCTTTGGATATTTGGTCCAATGCTGTTGAAGCCTCTGGCTAACTGCCAGAAAGGTGTATGCACTTCATACCACTCCATCTATGCATATCCCAAAGTGAAATAATAAGAAATGCTCGGGTGCTCACAGGCGTGGTGCTGCAAGCACATTGAAGGCATCTGCAGGAGTGCCACCCATGGGATCTGTGGGTTTCAGGCAGAATGCTTCCCTAATCCAACCTGAAGAGGTTCTAGATGGAACTTGAGGCTTTCTGCATGCAAAGCATGTGCCTTACCATTGAGCCATGCTTATTATTACACAGCTCCCCTGGAGAGCTGTTCTTGGACTACACTGGATAGACCAGCACTGCAACTGCATTATAGGCAGCAAGGGGGCAGCCCACACAAACCAGGTCCTGAAGATAAAGGCAGGAGAGTAATACAAAACACTCTGCAGTGCAATGGGTGGGCAATGGCATTTTTCAGGAGAATTCAAAGTGAGAGAACAAAGTGCAGCAACTCCAGCTGAATGGCTTGGAGAAGAAGCAACCGCACTAGAAAGGAGCTGGTCCAAGTACTGCTGCACAAATGGATTTTTACACAGGTGAATTATCCTCATCCCCAACAATGGCAGACATCTCTCGGAAACAAAGCCTTTGATAAACAGCCAACAAAAGGCTTTTATCAGAAGTTAGCAAGAGGTTGATTGCAGTGATTGTGTAGCAATAGAGAAGATCAATCTTGGTTTCAGTCCCCCTCCCTGATACTTTAGACCCCAAGTCCTAATTTTAATGTAGCTTCACTTTTCCGCCTGCTCCCTTACTCACCACTTTTTTCAGTGCCCTTTCTGAAACTAGTTTATTCAGAAATGTCCCCCTAGTGGAACAGACTGCTAAAGTCACTAATCAATAATATTCTTATATAATCAGGAACTATTGCCATTTAAACTGTTGTCATAAACTACCACTTTGAAAGCAATTGCTTTCTGAAGCATAAAGTAAATTAACCATTAATTCCTAGAGGACAACAAGAAATTCTTAGAGGCAGTTTTATTTGCAAACGTTCAAAATGAATAATGTAATTCCCTCCAAGCCCTGCTGCCAAGAAGGGTATGGTTAGACTGAGAACTATAAAACACTGGTCAACATGTTTCTTCTAACCACAACTGACCGTTCACTTTGGCATAGAGGGAATATTGAGAACAGTTTAAAAGATAACGACAGTAAAATAGAAGGCTAGAAAAAGGATAGCAATAGCAGGTGCTAAACAAATGTCAAGAAAAAGGATGGGAGGTAAATGTTAAGACATAACTAAAAGATGCTGATCTTCTTTGGCAATGAGATAATACAGTACCAACATTTCAATGACTGATACCTTGGAGATGTTGTCAGCTCATTTGATCGATGGGGGCGTTTCAAAATGGCAATTGCTTACATGTAGTATTACTGAATCATATATTCAAAATAACTGGAAACCTACTGTTTATCCTTTGGCTAATAACAGATCACCTTTTCTACAAAGCAACAATGTGTATTGTCACATCAGAAGATGAACTTCTAATAGGATTTTTTTAAATCTATGTGGATGTTGAACACTTAAACTCTTTGGAAAAATACGAACCAAAATTGATGTCTTTTGACAGAGAGATTGTCTCACTGTTTGTTAAGTAGACATATTTGGGTATGTTCCTTTATATAATATATTCCTAATACAAAGGTAAGAATGCTGTCTGATATGCCCCCGGTTCAGCTTTCTGTGTGGAGGTGTCATAGTGCTAATGCAAGTGCTAATGTAGAGCTAAGTGGTCTCATAGTTATGTCACAGCATTGTATTGAACGCTGGGGGATTTTATTGTCATTTCGCAGGCACTAACCAATAGGTGTCCATGATATTTGCACACTTACAATAAAAATTACACCAATTAGTGCAAGAGAAGTTCTAGCTGAATGGGTTCTTAAAATAAAATACTATATATTGATTCCTGGGAAAATGCAATTTCCTGACAACAGAAGTGTTTCTTCTAGGAAAAAAGCCATTTTCACAAATCAGTGTTTGAATGCACAAAAGAACCACATTCACCAGAAAGCACATTATGCTTTAAAATGTCTCTCAACCATTTTCTATCATTTTTAACACTATTCAGGAGGAACACATTTGCACTAAGAGGTCCCAAAGTACACAGATTATTCGGAAAGCCTGATCACCACACAGAAACATTTAGAAATCTGTACCCATGAATGCAGCATGCTTAGAGTTGTAGACTAGGATGTATTTGCAAACAGCTTTAGTATGACAAAATGCAGCCATTCTGAGAGTTAAAATGTTTGATGCATATACTCCAAACCCTGATTCATAAAGCTGTCTACCATTTTGTTTGGTTCCAGACAGGCCATCACTTCAGCATCCTTGTAAAAAATTGTGTTGCTTTCCTGAGGAAATAGGAAGTCGAATGACAATTCTATTTTTTGTTGCTGTTCTGTACATTTGTTAGGCTCAGCTGGCACCATTCCAGTGCTGATTGCATTGACTGTAAACTCCATACTCTCTCTCTCACTCTCTCATACACACACACACACACGCACACAGTTAAAGTCCTATGCTTGACAAATAAAAACTGTTGGCATTAAATCAAATAGCTTTTGACAAAACAGAATGCCAGAATCCCCAGGCAAATCCCCAGCCCCACAAATACCTACATGCCAACATAAGCCTAATATACCAATTATCCCATAACAAACAGAAATGCACTAAGTAGATGCATTGCGTTGACAGGGTCTTTCCATCAGTGACAAAGTTCAAAGTTTCCTCTCCTGCTAAAAGGTTCAGCTAGCAATCCCTAGGTTTTCAAGATGCCGGCCAAAAGCAATTCCTGTCATTACCATTTAACAGGTAACTGGAGAGTCTCGGGATTAGGCCTGGGAACATGTGTGTGCAGAACATTTCTCCAGTCCCGTGAAAGGCCCTGCAAGTAGAAGGAAGACTGAAGGGCAGGAAGAGTTTCCATGACTGAAGGCCAGTGGTGTGCAGGCAACTCAAATTCTTCCTGGATGTTGCACATTTCCCAAGTCTTCCCAAAAGAGGGAGTGAGAGCAGGAAGTCTCCTGCTGCAAGGGATTTTCTGTTTTCGTGAGATTTAGGAGGAAGATGGGGCATGGGACTATATAGGGTCCAGTCCTACATGAGCTGGCATGTCCCATCTCACTTTGTGCAGGGTCAGGGGATGTTCCTCCAGGAGTGGGAGGCCGCAGTAATCCACAGCACAGTGGCTGCAAACTGCCCAGAGAGCTTTCGCCATTGGGTGGCACAGGCATGCAATCGAAGGTGGTGGTGGTAGTCGTGGTGGTGATACCCTCCCAGCAGATTTTGGACAACTATAGCTTATGCAACTTGTTCTCAGTCTAATCGGAGCATAGGAGTCTGAGCATAGGAATTCACCACAGGCAGGCATTTCAGGTGTGAGCAGGCTACCCAGCATGGATAGCCAGGTCAGATACCTGGGAGGCGCAAATAAGAGCCATAAGCTGGTGGCTTAGTGGTACGCCAAGCATGGTGTCTGCCTCTTTCTTGCCAGCTGAAAAGTGCTCTGACCACCCCATCCCACCCCATTTAAGCAACTGAACAGCTGCATACCCTAATCTATTAAGTACATATGCACACTTCATTTTGTTAGACAGCTGAATGTTCCTTGCTGAAGTGTCTCAGTATTCTCTAGAAAGAGCTTAGCTGCACCACAGACGTAAGTGTGTACAGCTGAATCTTTGCCAAGCTTTTTTCTTTCCTTGACTTTTCTTCTTTTTGCTGCTGGTAATTTTGGAACCCCGCCATGTGCTTTTTAGCAGGCCATGCCTGTGAAGTATGCACAGATCCAGCTATCTGCATACTTTTGCTTTTCATGTCTGGAGCATATTTAAAATATTAGGCTTATAGAAAGAACCTCTTGGCATGACTTGGCTTTTCTATCTATAAACAAATACTCATATGCTCTGCCTGCTTTACCAACAAAGATGTTTTCCTGTTTCTAAAATGTATTATTAGAATATATTTGTGACATGAGTTACTTTTGCAAAAGTTAGGTATTTATTAGGATCTCTGTTAACTGGGAATTTGATGTATTTAAAAAAATCAAACCTCACAGCCCATGTTTATCAGCATATCCAAAGTCAGGTTGAAGTCTTACCTCAAATGGCAGTTCTGCTATTTCTAGATTTCCAGATATGTCGAGTTTTTCCAGATTCTCACAGTTTCCCAGCTCTGGAGGAATTGTCTTCAAACAATTAAAGCTTACATTAAGCTCTTTCAGTTTTTTTAAGCAACCTATCAAAATAAAATGAGCTGAAATGAGCTGAGTAGTCATTCAGTTGCCTAGGATAACAATAAGATGCATAGTCATCTCAATAGAGAGAACAGAACAGGCCTTATATAATTTCATGCCTCATGATGGTGATGCCCAAGACGGTCATCCAACTAAAGACGTTTTAGGAATCCTATCCACAGTATCCAGGGTCTGTAGAATATTCTGGAGGGGATATTTCTGCAAGTGAAGAGGAAGGCTTGTTCATAGAGAGGAAGGACCACTGTGAAGGCCGTTCCTTGAGCTTCTGGCCCTTGACCTCCCCACCTAGTGGTGATCCTTATGTGGGAATAGCAAGAGGGGCATTCTAGAGGGGATGTCAGAGGTGGGTCAGGGGTGGATCTGGGGAGGGGTTTGCCCCACCAGATTCAAATCATACCTTCTTCAGTTCTGGACACACCCCTACATCAGAGAGAAAATTAGCTAAATTCTGGGGGCAGTGATATTATTTTCCCTCCCTTTGGAACCAGTCCTTCCTGCCTTCCATAGGATGGGTCTGTCCATGCATCAGTGTGCACATGAGAATAAAGAAAATAGGCATCTGTTTTTCCAGTATGTGCAAAGTGTCAGGGCAGACATCCCCAGAGGCAGTTTCTATCCATCCACACACATTCAGAAAACATCTCTTTTAAAATAATGTTTGCCATTTGCTGTTTTTATAAGTATTTATATTAAACATAATTTTACACCATGTAAAACATTTTTAAGTGCTGGGCAATTAATGGTGTTGAGCAAAACAGTTTCCAGAAATCAATAAGCTGATATAAAAGATAGAATCACCATCTGGATACTTATCAAGATAATGTGAAAACCTCGGAAATAGGGATTTCCAAAGTGTCACTGGGAAACTATTGAATTTAGAAGTAGGATTGCGTTCCTTGATTGACCTAGACATTTGTTCTGAGTTATTGGTTTTGTCTTTTTTCTGATATCTCTGCCAGTTCCTAGATTTACTTAACATTAATTTACCCATTCATTTCTTCTTGGAAAAGGACTATTTCTTTAAAGAGCCATTCTTTTCTCGAGCACTTATGTTTGGTAGCACACATGGAAAATATGCAATTAAGCAAAAGATTCAGTATTGATTAAACACAATATGCTAGCTCATTCCTTCAGTGTCTGCTCTCTTTGACTCATAGCTTGTTTATTCTTAACTTGAATGAGATCATTCAATTCTAGAAGACATTCTTTTTGCAGGGGACTATGTGTAATGCTATACCATCTATGGTAACTGAAGGTCACTTCCTAATAATTCTGCTCAAGCAGAGGTCTGTCCCTGAAATTTGGATGAAACTTTATTTCTTGTACATATGTTTTCTTAAATCCAATGTTTATAAGAGTACAAGGGGATGCTTGTTCTCATTAGAAGTGAGGACACTTTATGGTAAATCAGAAGAATTGCTATTTGGTTGCTTGTTGTCTTGATGGCATAATGCCAGTGTTACTTTGTTAGTAACTAATTCTGGAATATTGTTGTTAATACCAGGCCTTCAATACTGGATAATTAGCATTGTTCTTAACTTTGCAGACTATGTATTTTCCTTTGTATTATTCTGTGTTTGCTATGTGTTATGGTTGGTTGACTAATAAATCCTGATTGATTGGTTGGTTGAAAACTCTGTGTTAGATGCTAATGTTTGATGAATATATTATACTTTCTCCTCTACCTGTATTTTCAGCACCATGTATAAATGAACACTGTTGCACAGAAGCAACTTACACTGTCTATCCCACATCTGAATATAAGATTGTATAGTTTTAGATTACCCAGCCCATATAGGAAATATGAAACCCTGGTGTGATGAGGCATATATCTATCTTGTTCTGAACTGTGGGAAATTTTAAGGCAGACAAGTACTGAAATTGTTTTACCATCTTTGCTATGAAGATGCTGTTGTTTGTCCTGTGGAAGCAGGCTTATTTGATTGAAGCTGAAAGAGTTTCAGACTCATGTGACTGAAGCTGTTTCAACTGAACACCAGCAGATGGGGCGTATGCAAACCCAATTTTGCAGAGTTTGCTGCTCTAGGTGCCTGAATGGATTTTGCTTGTATGAAATCCCTGCTCCCTTCCTTTATCTTCATTTTCCTATCCCAGGACATCACCACCAGAGCCTCCTTTGATCTGATTGTTGCAAGTATCATATCTAGTAATCATGAACTCGGAGTTTTGATGGCTACGTAGCCCAAAGATTGCTGCTGAGAAACTAGGTGATCATCAGCATATTTACAGAAGTACAGGAAAAATATCTTGATGGGGCACATATTCCATGAAAGAATGAACAAAATCGCTCAGTGAGGACAGAGCAGGATCCGTAGCTATGGACTGCTACATGTCTGGAATGGAACGAGCTGTTCTAGAAGAGAGATAGATTGAACCTAACACACAAGAGCACGCTTCCCTACAAGATTTTGCTGCAGTCCCGCCTGTGCTTTCAGAATCAAGAAGGAGCACCTGTGAGCACATTTAGAAAGCCCTTCCTTGAGTGTGGCTTTCCCACACCTGGCCCCCTAACGTGGTTTTGGACTACACCCCCACCCCCCACCCCCAGCATTAGCCATGCTGTCTGGAATTGATATGAGGTGTGGAGGACACCAGGTTAGGGAAGGGTACTTTAATGTGTCTTAATTTTCATTCTGTGGGTGCAATTCGGTGAAGCCTTTCTAGCAGCAGAATTGCTTCAGTCAGCAAAGCCTGGTGAGGAACACTTCCTCTTGCCCCCTGCAGACCTCTGCATCTCCCTCTGCGCCCTCCAAATCGAGGCTGAAGGACCCCATGAAGCAAATACTTGAGAAGGGGAAGGAGGGATGCAGGAGGAAGAGAAAGGGAGAAACACAGAAACAGAGTGAGTCAGAAGGGACCTCCCAGGCCATCTAGCCTGACCCCCGGCTCCAGCCGGCTCCACTCCTACCATGAACATGTCCAGCCTATCCTTAAACACCCTCACCGGCGGTGCTTCAACCTCTTATTGGTTACTCTACCTGAGGACAATTTAACAAGGGTCTCACAGAGGTTTCTCCCACCACGTCATCTTAACTAGAAACATTAGGCCCTGAACTCAAGAGTTCAGCATGCAAAAATGGGTTCCGTCACTGACTTACGGCCCTGAGCTGTAGTGCTTGCTCAAAATAAGTGAGCTGCAATGGTTAAAGGGTTTGACAGGAACTGGAGACACCTAGGCTGTAGCCCACTTGGCTATTAAGCTCACTGGGTGACTTTGGGGCAGCCATTGACTTTCAACTGAACCGACCTCACAGGGTTGTTGTGAAGATATAAAGTGGAGAGGAGGAGATCCATATTTCCTACCTCAGAATCCTTGTAGGAGAAAAGGTGGGGTATCAATTAACAAAAAACAACCATAGAGAAACAACATGATGCAGACTGAGACATGGAGCTGTGTCATTGCATAGCTGGGATGGTGCTCACCTGTGCAACCTGTGCAACCTTTATCTCGCTGCAATCAGGGCACCTGATTTAGATTAGGACCACGCAGACGCACCATGGCTACATAGAAGGGGGGGGTCGCTCCACACCCACAAAGCTTCACCAACTTTTACTAAGACTTTCAAGTCCTGTTGCATGAGCAATTTCAGCTTCTGCCCTGCTCATCCACTCCTGGTTGGTGAGCCTGAGCTGCTGGAAGAAGTCTGATTAGCTGTCTGCCCCGCGTCTCCCACATGTAGCTATTTGCATGTATGCATGTGTATGATTTCTTTTCTGGCTTTGAATTGCAAATCTCAACATTTCAAATTTAGGGTATGTCTGTTTATCCAAATCTTATTGTGACTCCATTAAATTAATTCATACTTAATTCACAAAGCATCAATCGGAAAAACTGTACTTAAATGGTATTTAATGCTATCAATAAACATAAGGAGAATACCAATCAGTAATAAATGTAAACATAGTTTTGTATGACTGTTATGGAAAATTTAGGGCTTGATCCAGCACTCTATGTGTGGAGCTGTCTTCATATTCATATATATATATATATATATATATATATATATATGTATATATATATATATGTATATATATATATATATGGCCTCTGCAGCGTTCAGCAATTTTGCAGATGGATCAAGAAAAATAACCCATCTGCCATTCCATCTTGCTTTCTTTCTTGAACAGCCACCTAACAAGCCCTTTCAAGTTGTTCGAGTTATTGAAAGGACTGTCTGTGCAGGCCCAGACTAACTGAAAGAAGAACCAAGAGCATATCGTCAGTGCATATCATCATACTATCTAGGTAGACATAAGCACGCAGAGGCAGACTTTCATAACCATATAACTCCTAGCTTGATTTGAATGCTAGGGGGCAAAGTCTATTGAAAATACATTACTTTTAAAACTAAGGTTATTGAAATTAGTGTAGTTGTCACATGCTTTGAGAAATGCATTATGAATCATGGCATAGGAAGCAGTCATTTCAAGTCACAGACAGACTTATTTATTTATTTATTTATTTAGGAGGCTTCTATGCTGCCCCTTTCGCCGAAGCCTCGGGGCAGCTCACAATAGACTTGTTGGTATAGACTTACTCCAAGATAGCATGATCAAAGTGTGCTGAAGCTATTCAGAAATGACATTTAGAACACATCACCTAAGACAATCAGAATACTTTAGAAAATAGAAAGGGAGACATCTGCAAATTATTCCCTAGATGCAGCAGGCAAGAAATATCTCTTGGAAGATATTTCCAGGCCACCAAGAAAGTAGAAATTTGGTGTGCAAATAAGCAAAGTCACAGTAACTATTACGAACATTGGAAACATGGAATCTTTTTATACCTAACTGTCAAAATTTAGAAAAGGATTGTTACCCCATAACAAGAATCTGCTTGAACAAAGAATTAGCTAAGCCACTCATGGGACAAAAACAGGGGGCTTCTGGAGTCCCCTTGACTTGTATGCATTCCGATCACACTGTGGCTGGGGAAAAAGGACTTCTGTTGGCAGCTAGG